TACATTCGCGCTCGTTGATAAATCCAGCTTCGCTCTGGTGCCAGGTTTCGTTCGCATTGCATTGGTGGGCTACTTTCGATCATAAGAATTTAGCTTGATAGAATGGCCACAAACAAGAGAAACGAACAAGCATGCTCATTCAATTTTCTTTGCTGATATTGTGTCAGGCTCCGTCCACACTGCGCCAGAGGAATTTGAAAACGCAGCTTTATTTCTCCGGCTAGGCCTACCATCCACACTAAAACGAAGTTTTCGAAAACGCTCTTCAAACCGGAGAAATTTGAAAACGCCGGCTTTGCCTCTCAGTGTGGACGGAAACCATTTTGAAAACAAAGCTTATTTTGCTCAAACACAAATTCAAACGGTGATTGTTGCGTTTTCCGATTTCTCCGGCGTACAGTGGACGGAAAACATTTGATGCGTAGTGAAACCTCCGCTTTCAAATCCCTCCGTAGTATAGTGGTGTGGACGGGGCCTGAGCCTAGCTGCCAGGCTGGACGGACAGACCCCACACTGGACACCTCTCCCCGCTGAATCTCTTTTGCCAGGGATTCACAGTAATCTAACTAAACCCCACATATAACTATTTAAAAGGACACTTCCCATTGCGTCCCCTCCCGCCTAACAGCTCAGAAACTGGGAACGAAATAAAGGCACGCAGCCGCGCCTGCATTTACCTCCGCTGTACGGAGAAAACTGTACAAGATGGCGGAGAAGATAGTCAGAAGAAAGTAATAAACTGCTGGTGATAAATGCAATATGATTTATCTACGACTGCCCTTGAGGCGCCTGAACCATTTGGTAAGTTTAACCTAATTTAGTATGAATATATATATGCTATTTGTCGGTTGGGAGGTCCGTATAGTGAAAAACTGTGACCGAGGTCTTGAAAATGCTGCCCGAGGCCGCAGGCCCAGGGCAGCATTTTCAAGTCCGAGGTCACAGTTTTTCACTCTACGGACCGACTCTAAGCCGGCAAATAACAGTTTATTTTTTTTCCTGCGGTAAATTGGTTTACAGATTACGAATAGGTTTGTTTACGCAACTTTGCCATTGAATTGGCTTCCGCGTCGTTTACTAGCTAACGATTTGTAAGAAGCTCTTCGCAACGAGCGAGTAACTCAGATAATAGACAAAGAAAGATGTATTAAAGAACAGATTTTTTTCGAACTTCTTTATGTTAGTTGCATTTATTTCACTAGTTAAGTTCTCCAGAATTGTTTTTGCGGTGTGAAATGTCTTGCGAAGTGTGAAGTTTTACTACAACTGTCAGTCGTTGCTTTTAAAATCACTTGAAATCAGACTTTTCTACCGTAAATTGAATAGCAGAAAGCGAGGGAATTTGTTAAGTGTATTCCACAGAAATCCTCCAAAATACAGCAATGATCAGAGAGGTGACCTCAACTGATATTGACTCAAATTTTATGGCGAGAGAAACACAGGATTATGCACCATTACAGCGCCAAGCTACAAACAACCAAGCAAACTCTCACAACTTTAAAATGCTCAATTGAATTTACTTACAGTGACTTTCCTTGCCATTTTAAAGTGAACGGAGATAAACAGAGTGTGACTAATCGTCGATGGATATGTAAAAAAGGGAAAACATTGACAATTACGCTCACTTTTAGGGGTGAAATTTAGACAGAGGGTAGAAAATCCGACCTGTGGACCATATCGTAACAAGCTGGACCAGTCATGTGCGGATGATTAACCAATCAAATTCGAGGATTTGGGATTCCGGCTCGCTCAGATGCTTGAGAAAAAAATAAATGATCATAATTCACTTGGTTCTGTGTGAAATAAAAACACGATACCAATTGCTGTACATGATTCGCCTGGTTAAATCATACATACATACATACATGCATGCATACATACATATTCTGAGTAGAATGTATTTTATAGAGCGCTCAACTCAATCAATTGAGGAGTATCAGCTATAACTTCAGAGAAGTTCAAGTCTCACGAGCAATAAAACGATGATTACTCGTCAGACCTGAACCTCTCTGAAGTTACATACATACATACATACATACATACATACAGAATTTATTTGGTTAAGCAGGTTGGGGAACTGGCAAGACATTAAGTCCTGATGTGGACCTGCACTATCTAAAATGATTAATTAATATACATCTAAATATTAAATGGTAATGGATGAAAAAATAATGATAGCTGAAATAGATAAATATTCAAAAGTCAACATTTAAAATATTCAAAATATTAAAAATATTTAAAGTCGAAAGATTTGTTGGAAATGCTGCAAGAAGCTTTAGCAAAACTGATAGATTTTAGAATTCTCTTATTTTCCTTAAGTTTTCTATTGAAAGAGGGCAGGTTTGAACAGTTCTTAATTTCATCAGGAAGGAGGTTCCAGGATAGTGCAGCTCTATGTTTAAAGGGAGATCTTCCCACTTCTGTTCTTGGTCTATGAACCTCAACATTTAAGGACTTTCTAAAATTATAAGTAGTCTCAGGCTTCGTTATTAAGTCATTTAGGGGTTCGATACTACTTCCATGCTAAATATTTTACGTAATAACTAAAAGTCTCTTAATGTAAAATGAGACAATAGAGTTCCAGTGTGGAGCCTTCATGATGTCATGACTGTGGATGTTATGGGGTAGATTGTAAATAATTCTTGTTGCTGTTAAATGAATGCAATCGATATCATCTATCAAGGCTGAAGAACAAGACCCCCAGACTACAACACCATACAAAACACTTGGGATGATTGTTTTGTAGTAAATAGTTTCCAAGATTGGTTTCAGTAAAAACTTTAGTAAAAACTGTTGACAATAAGGGTGTGTACAGTAAACATCGTGCAAACATGGGTATACTTTCAGTCTGCCAATATTTATTGTTGTTGTTGTCTAGCTGAGGTTTTTGTTATGTTTTTAATTAAATAAATTGAAGTCATTAGAAGAAATGTCTGTAAGCTTGCTATTCTTTTGCAGGCTTTAAATCCCTTGAGATTTCCCTGTCACCCTCAGCTGTCTGCTGTACCTTTACTCTGTTCACAGCAGCACAAGAGACACAGTAGCAATTGGGTATCATCTGCTTATTATATATTTTCACCGGATTTGCCACCAATTTATGCCCTTCAAGTATTCTTAGAGACAGTTCATTCATGGAGTCATCTTCCATGGTTTGTACATCTACCACAGTAATTCAGCTTATGCATCTGAAGTCATAAGATATTTTAAGTTAGCTCACTGGTTCCCTAACCTCACTCCATACAATTTAAAAGCTTTATTAATGGTTTATTTAATGAGGAAGGTACAGTATAGTGGCCTCATGGTTAGTGTATTTGATTCTGGATCAAGCGGTCCACGGTCGAGCCCTCACCTGGGACATTGACTTGTGTTGTGTTCTTGGGCAAGATACTTTACTCTCATAATGCCTCTTTCCACCCAGCTGTATAAATGGATACCGGAAGTTAATGTCGGAGGTAACCCTGTGATGGACTAGCATACCATGCCCATCTAGTGGGGAATAGAAATACTCCTAGTTGTTTCATGCCACAGAAACTGGGATAAGTTCTGGCCTGATGGGCCCAGGAGAGAGGGGGGGT